CTCAAAAAATGATACTTTGTCTCAATATGCTTGCTTCTCCCATGTAGTACTGGGTTCTTGGCAAAATTGATTACAGACTTGTTATCAATCATCAGCTTCAGAGGCTTCTCTACTTTAACCTTCAGATTTTGCAATAAATTCAGAAGTCACACATCTTGACATGCAACTATAATACTTGCAATATACTCAGCTTTACACATTGATAGAGCAACATAAAATTGCTTCTTGGAACACCAAAAAATATGACCTCCCAGAAACTTAAACAAGTATGCAAAAGTACTTCTTTTATCAACTATATCTCTACTCCAATCAGAATCAGAATAAATCATCAACTCTGAATCTGTTTTTCTTCCAAAAGGGAATAGTACTCCAAACTTCAGAGTTCCCTTAATATACCTCAGAATCCTAACAACAGCTTGGTAATGAGACCAATTAGATTTACTCATGAACCTACTAACCAATCCAACCGCATAACAAATGTCATGTCTGGTATTACACAGATACCTCAGAGAATCTACCAACTGTTTGAACGTTGTAACATCTACGTCTTCATCCTTAGAGTCAGAATCCAATTTATGATTGGTTTCTGACGGTGTAACAACGACCTTACAATTCTCCAACTTGAATTTCTTCAGAAGCTCAAGTTCATACTTCAGCTGATGCAAAATTATACCTTGTTCAAAGTAAAATACCCCCATCCCTAGAAAATAAACCAACTTTCCTAGGTCAGTCATCTCAAATTCATTCATCAGAGTCTTCTGAACTTGATAACTTCTTCATAACAGATTCCTATCAGCAATATGTCATCAACATAAAGACATACCATAATTATATTGCTTTTAGAATGCTAAACATACACGCCATACTCCATCTCAAACTTATGAAAACCTTGTTTCTTGAAAAATGAATCAATCTTCAAATTCCAAGCTCTGGGCGTTTTCTTCAATCATAGAGAGTTTTATGTAACATGTACATTATCCCTTCCTGGTTCTTTTTCACAAATCCAGGAGGTTATGACACATATACCTCTTCTTTTAATGGACCGTTCAGAAATGTATACTTCACATCCAGATGCATCAGAGGCCAATTTCTATTTGCAACTAAAGCAATCACCAATCTGATTGTTTCATGTCTAGCTACATGCGCAAACACCTCAAAGTAATCTAGTCCAGGTTTCTAAAAAACCTCTAGCCACTAGCTTTGCTTTGTGCTTGCCAATTGATCCATCTGGCTTAAGATTCACCTTGAAAATACATCTGACGTTGATGGCTTTCTTGTCTGGAAGCTTAGTCAACTTCCAGGTCTTGTTTCTTTTTATAGCCTCAAATTCTTCTTTCACGGAATTCAACCATACTTTCTTCTTGAGATCTTCTTCAACACTCATAAATTCCGAGTCTACTAACATGTCACAGTGAACAATTTCTCTTTCTGAATCTACTTCAGTATCTTGCAGCATGTCAAACTCTGCAAATCTTCTTGGTATTTATCTGATTCTTTGTAGCCTCTGAACTTATTCAGAAAATCATTTCAATTTTGGAACAGTATCAGATACTTGACCACCATTAGAAGTTCCACCTTCTAAATTTCCTTCAGAACCTTTACCTTCTGAAGTTTCACCTTCAGAATCATGACCTTCACCAGAAACATGATCATCTTCAGAAGCTTATCCTCCAGAACCTACATCTTCAAAATTTTCCCTTCCAGAATCATGACCACCACTAGGTTCTAGATCATCATCAAAATCTGGATCCGAATCAGATTCACCATCTGACTCATCTTAAGAGTTTCCAGAATCATCATCTGAATCTGACTCTTCTTCAAAACTATCAAGTTCTGGCTTATCTTTAGAACTAGATTGAGACTTTCTCCAATTTCATACTTCTGATTCTTTTATAATGACATCTCTGTTAACTTCAAATTTATTCGTTTTTGGACAATAAAGATTGTATGCACCTGTACTGTGGTACCCTACCATAATCATTACTTTTCTTCTGTCATCCATCTTCTTTCTTCTAGCTTCTAGAATGTGTTTGTAACATATAGAACCAAACACCTTCAGATGACTAACACTTTGCTTGTCTCCAGTCCACTTTTTTGAAGGAAAAATTTCCTTCAGCTTCTTCGTTAGACGCTTGTTGAGCACATATGCTGACGTGGCTACAACTTCTCCCCACAATTTATGAGGTAGTTTCTTCTCTTTTAGCATGCTTCTGGTCATATCAAGCAAATTATGATTTATTCTTTCAACAAGACCATTGAGTTAAGGAGTATAAGAAGCAATAACTTCATGCTCAATTCCATTTTCATCACAAAACTTCTAGAATTCTGTAGAATTATACTCACCTCCACCATCTATTTTGAGACTCTTCAGCTTCTGACCACTTTGTTTCTCAGCCTTCACCTTGAACTTCTGGAACTCGATAAACATCTCATGTTTAAACTTTATGAGTGTTATCCACATCATTCTTGTGAACTCATCCACAAAGGACACAAAATATCTATTTCCTCCAAGTGAAAATTTTGGAAATGGTCCACACATGTCAGAATGCACTACTCCCAAAGCATGTTTTACTCTTGGGGATACTTCTAACATAAATGGAAATTTGGGTTGCTTGCCTTTCATGTATACCTCACATGACTTTTCAGGCTTCACAATCTTCAGAATGCCACACAAGAGCTTCTTGGAACTCAGATGCCCTAGGCTTCTGTAGTTTAGATTCCCTAATCTTTTGTGCCACAACTTACTACCAGCTTCAACATCTTCTGAACTAAGACATCCTGCTTCTGCTGTCTATACAATCACCTTGAATATATCTTCAAGAGATTGTCCTTCATAATAACTGAGAAACCTTTCTCAATGATTTGATCCACACTCATCAGATTACTCTTAATTTCAGGAACATACCAAACATCCTTGATCAGAACGGTCTTCCCATTCTTCACTTTAACTTTGACATTTCCCATATCTTATGCATTAAGGTACTTATCAGCAGCACATCTGATTTTTATCCTCCTTATAGAGTAAAATATCTATCAGCCATTGTTTATTTCCAATCAAGTGATTTGAACAACCAGCATCCATATACCACCAGTCTGCCAAACACTTTCCATCAGACTCAGAAGCCATCAATAGCACAAGTTCATCATCAGAATCTCCTATGACTAGATTTTCTTCTTATGATCTCCTTCCCTTATTTGACCAATTTTTTTAGCAAAATGGCCAAACTGCTTACAACAATAACATCAAACCTTCTTCTTGTCAAACTTCTCCTTACTCTTCTGAGGTTTCTTCTCATCAGAAGTAAAAGTTTCTAACTTCTGGAATCTATCACTATATCTATTCTTGGTTTCTGACCAAGAATACTTCTGGTCCTTCTTGACAAAAGAAGCCTTTAGAGCATGCTCAACTTCTCTCTCAGAAGTTCTTTAAGTCAGACGCAACTCATGCGCCTCTAGACTACTTTACAACTCTTCTATTCTCATGGTTTCCAGATCTTTAGAATGTTCAATTGTTACAACAATGTCATCAAATTGAGGAATAAGAGATCTCAATATCTTCTCAATGATTACTTGTTCAGAAAGGATTTCTCCATAAGTCTTAATCTCATTAGTGATCAAAAACACTCTAGAGATGTACTCATAAACCTTCTCATTGTTCTTCATGTTGAGATTCTCATATTACTTTCGCAGGGACTGAAGCTTTACCTTCTTCACTGATGCGTCACCACCATAGCATTTGATCAGTGTGTCTCATGCCTCCTTCGTCGTCGTCGAATTATCAATCTTCTCAAACACATTCACATCCACACACTAATGGATGTAGAACAACGCTTTCTGATCTTTCTTTCTCTTGTCTCTCTGTTCATTTCTCTCTTCTTCTATCACATTTGCTGCAACCGGAACATAGCCATTGGTAACAAGCTCAAGCGGATCTTGAACACCAAATAGCACGCGCATCTGAATCATCCATCTGTTCCAGTTCTTGCCATCAAAAATAAGAAGTTTGGTACTCAGACTACCGTTTGCGTTCATTCTTATCCTTGTACAACTCACTCAGATCTCACAAACACAATATTTCCCAATCCCATAAAATTAGAAAAAAAATGTGATTCTGTTCAAATTTTGTTCAAGATTCAACACGAACCCTTAACTAATATCAATCACACAAACGCCCCACGTTTCACTCGTGTTTCTATGTGGATCAGAACTAGAGCTCTAGATATCAATTGTTAGTGCACAAAGATCAATAATAACAAATAATGAAAATAATAAATAACAATTGCAAAAGAGTATGAAAGAATATATATATATATATATATATATATATATATATATATATATATATATATATATATATATATATATATATATATATATATATATATTGTTATAAATGACATCTATGACTAATCTATTTATACAAAAGATAAATTATCACATAGACCTTAATAAAAATAAATTTAATAACTAAATTAAAATGTACTAACTAAAAAATATTAAATTATCCATCAATATGAATCCGAACAAAACAACCCATCATGATGATCAAACTATTCTCCAATTTCATTAGGTAAGTAGAGATGACCTATCTTTCATGATTCCTAATAACACCACATCCTTCTTTCAACCCACACCGTCGCAATATTAAAAATGTTAGTAAGAGTAAGATACCCAAATCAAAACCCATAACGTGATAGGTTAGAATATATATATATAGACCATTCACTTTTCCAATCTAATCCAATGGATATATATCAATCAACCATTGATGACAATCCATTTTGTCCTTTCTGGATCCTCTCATCCTCAAATTTCACGACAAAAAATTCCATTGCAACACACAACAATTGGCTGAAAAATGAAACACAATTCTGGTTTTTTCAATTAATACTCTAGAACTAAAATACAAACAAACCATTGTTCATAGAAAACAAAACAAACTCTATTTATAATTGTTTTGAGACAAACATAACCGAGGTTAATGTTCTACATCTTTCATACTAACACGTGTTCTTAGACGTGTCCCCTTTGATTTCTTCTTGTCCCATTGGTTTTGCGGTGCCCATTTCCATTGATTCTTCTTCTCTTGTTGTTTTTGCATTATTATTCCCTTTATTCCCACGATATATCAAATACAATATTAGTTGCAAAGTCCCCAATGCTGACCCTACACCATTTGGTACCTACAAATAACAAAATTGCCCCATCTCTTTGAAATGCTAACAATCATTCACAACCAATATAACAAACACACGACACAGATCATAATCACATAATCACATGTGTTAGTGTCAGATTGTAACACATAACAGACATTACATACCAGAAGACATAAAAATGTGTCGGTGTCGGGTCCAAACACATATCAAAGAGGACTTTGTAACTTTAATGAAAATATGATTGAAGGGATTATTGTGTACTTACCGCAATAAATGGATCACGACCTAGAACACCATAGATGAACCAAGAGGTACCACATAGGAACACAAATAGGGAAAGGAAGAATGGCATGAACTCCACACTTTTTGTTTTGATCACCAATCTCTACACACATCAAAATCAAAAATTAAATTGCAATGTTACCAAAAACAAATTATACAAAAGGGCACATTTGGAAAATCAACTTTGTACATAAAAGTGAATGAATTATGAACATGTATAGTTTGTACAACAATGAAAACAATGATTAACAAATAGGAAAATTAAGTTACCAAAAACAGAAACAGATTCATGCATTAGGCATGATGCTTAATTTAGCTAAACACTTAATCTAACCTATCTCATTCAGATTAAATGACTCTTATTTTGACTTATTTTGACTTATTCAAAAAGTAAAAATAAAAAAAAAGCAATTATTAACATAAAAAGTGTGAACAAAAAACTTACCATAATAGAGAGAGGTGAACCATACATAATGATTGAAAATATAGCAGCAGCAAAACCACAAAACACTTTCCTTGAATTACCATGCAAAGCAAAGAGTGAAATGAAAACAACAGCTGAGAAAACTGTTATTACAAAAGCAAATAAGCCACTTATTTTCAGCTTCTCCTTTTTTGGTGCATATATGATAAAAGTGAAAACATATATGATTTCAATCACTGCTCCTGTTCCATTGATTATTGTTACTAGTATGTTGTGTGGTGACACAAATGGTAAACCATACCTGAAAATTGTTAAATTAATACTCAAATCAGAACATAACCGCCACAAAAAATACAAAAATAACCGCCGCAAAAAAATGAAGAAAATCACAAGAGAATGATTCCAAGAAAGTTACCAAGAAGAAAGAAGACAGTTGAGAAGGGTCATAATGTATGGAACTCCGGAGAATTTCTCTGTTGATTTCTTCACAAAGATCCTTTTGAAAGTGATTCTACAAAAGCAAAATCAACAAAAGTTTCACTTACTCAAACCTTGAACCATACACAAAAAGATCAAATTTTTATACATGAGAAAGTATCAGAAACGAAAAAGATTAAAAGGGTTGAGAAAAATGGATCATACATTGGAGCCAAGAAGAGAAAAAGGCCAAAAGCGTTTCCTGCATAACAGAAAGAAAATGAGAAACAGAAAAAACAGAATTCTGAAAAACAAGAACACATCAAGAGAGGATTGTTATGAACCTACCAAATATTCCAAATACAAAATGAGCAATATCCATGATCTTGTTGTTGATGATGATGATGAAGGTTTAAAGATATTAGAGAAAATATCCTTTGAGAGTTGAAGGAAAATTGAGAAAGAATGAGAATTGGTTTCTTGTTTTTGTGAATGAAGAGAAACTGACACTAATGAGTGGTAATGTGCAGTTGGAATAGCAAGTATTTATAGCAAAAATGGTTTCTTCTTTTTCTTCCAAAATTACCCTTCCATTTTTGTCAATTTTTTCAATCTTTTATTCTCTAATTTATTTTTAAAATAATAAATGGTTATGTTTAATTATTAGTAAATTTAATGTAGACTAAGAGAGAGATCAAGTAAGATAAGCAATGATCAGAACACATGCTTAGTTTGGAAAGATGAAAGGAAAGTTGAAAAGTAAAAGAAGAGGATGTGTTGCTGAAATTTATATAAAAAAAGATCATGTCATAGATAAACTTTATGCTCTAACCATTGGTAAGAAGAGCAGTGCATGCAACAACCATTGGTAAGAAAGATTTTCTACTGCTCTATTATTTTAGAAATAATATCTTGATTTTGTCGTTATAAACACACAAAAAATAGGTGATTTTTTATGATGTTTTTTTTTTTTTAATTTTTAATTTTTGTCCTACTTTTGATTTGCTATTGTAATATATTTATTCGTGGTAATTTAAGTCTGCCTTCTAAAGACAAGTTATTGCAGATGTTTTGTGTTCTTCATATATGTAATCAATAATTAGGATTATTTAAAAAGCTATCATATAAAAAAATTTATGTTTAGGAAATTCCATATTTGCCCTTCTGTTATCAAATTCGGCCACGTAGATGCCTTAACAATCTTCCTTTCCTTTTGCTTCTACAATCAACCCTAATTGCTTCTATTTGAAAAATTCTTTCGTTCTTTGCTTGCTACTACCACTACCGCTCAACTCTCTGTTAGCTGCAGTTAGAGCTCGTGCTATGTCTTCGCATTCGTTCTCACTGAGTTCTTCAATCACCTGCCCTCTTCATGGCTTCAGATCCACCACACCCATTGAGAAAGATTAACCAGGAACCTTCAATCTTCGTTATTTCTCTGAATATTGCTTATTCACGATTTTGAGAAGAATTCTTCTTAGATTTTGGAAACCCTTGCTTTCCCATTAAATGACTTTGTTTAGGGTTTAGATCTGTTGTATCCTAAAATTTTCCCTCTCATTTATCAAGTATTTTCCCACAAGATCTCATTTGATTCAAGACTACACAAGGTTTAATCAGCTCAAGACACCTCCTTAAGTACTGATGACTAAAATTAGGGTTTGAGATTGCCCAAGGATAATTGAACTTTCAATACCTCATATGACTTTCATGGGTCATTATGGACCCCCAAGATTATTCATGTCAAGTTTCAAGCCTTGAATCACATTTTTGCTCAGTCAATTAAGCAGTTGACCTAAAAATCAACTGTATTGGGGAAAAAGTCAAATGTGGCCAATTTACAGTCAAACTTCATAATTTTTTATCTATATCAATATTATAAACCCATATGTATCATTTGATCAAGTTTGAACCATAATTCCTCAAGAAATTTGATCAAATCATCAAAAGGGCAAAATGGTCAAAATTAGGGTTTTGACTAAGAAAGGGCAATTTCTGATTTTTGACCTAGAAAACGGTTAGTTGGTTTGAGGCATGATCTCAAGAGTTCAATTGCATCATTTTAACCTAATGGCATGACTCAAAACACTGCTCAAGATCATTTTATTGATAGTTGATTTTCAGTCAACTAATCAAAAGTCAACTGCATACTGAAAAGTCAAACTTTGACTTTTTGGTCAAAATCAAGTGTCAAAGATCAAAATTCATCAAAACATGTCAAAATATGAAACTTGATCATCAAGAAATAAAAATTTTAAGATTTCATTTTGAAAAGTCAAAGTTTCCAAACTTAGGAATTTTCTAAGTGTTGGAAACTTCATATTTTTTCATAACTTTGAGCCATTTTTTCACCATGATGCAAGATGATTCAAGGGAAACTTTCAAAATGAAAGTTGTAGATCTCAATGAGATCTAAAACGTTGCTTTACATAACTCTTCCTATAAATGCTTGTATTTTAAGTTATAAATTCATGAAGTCATGGCATTTTTGAATAAAACACCTTAGAGAAATTTTCAGCAATTTTGGTCAGGTTTTTATCCCAACTTCTTGGCCAATTTTCATCAAGTTCCAGTTTGATTTAACAAAAATGGTCAACATGAAAGTTATAGAGGTTGTTTCAAGCTTTCTAAAATATCCAAGAGCATGAATTCATCATATTTGAGCTAGGAGATTCCAGGGCATGAAGTTGAGCATCCATTATTGAATTGCAAGTCATTTTAGTGAATAACACATAACAAAACCCTTTTGATTTTCTGCATAATCTTATGTTGCAGGCCTCCTTTCTTGCAAATCTCATCATAATTTAATGCTTATACCCACTCTTGAGCTATTACCCAAGTGTTTAAACCATTGTCCAAAAGATCTTTCCATTTATGGCATAAAGGCACCATTGCTATTCTTGAAAGCAAGCTTTTTGTACAAAGTTTGTCTAGAGCCCATACCTTGCTGGTTGCTGATTATACTCCACCATAAATCATGGGAAGTAGCTCCTCTATACCAACAACTTTGGTACTTCATCTTGGGACTATGGAGTACTTGACATAGTTTGATCTTTGTAATCCAACCAAACCATAACATGCTGTTTTGCAAACCTAATCAGCTCATATGTACAAACCCCTTGCCTATAAATAGATGAAGCATTTACAAGAGAAAGAGGTTAGAAAAAATAGAGAGAAAAACCAGAAGTTTTGTTGTAAACTAGCCATCAAAATCCCAAAAAATCCATAACTGTCTAAAAAAGGCCTCCACTCTTGAGTTCTAAAGTACAAATCTTTGGAACTCGCACACCTTGCAAGCTCTGCCCAAACATCTAAGCACCTCACATACATCACCTAGAATTTGTTTAAACTCAAGAAGAAGCTTCTATAACACCTCTATTTTTTTCCAAGTTCAAGAACACTCAAGACAATAACTCAAGCTCAGAGTATAAGATCCAACTCCAAGGTAAGTTTCTTGACTTTAATTCTTCATTTCAAGAATCATTAGTGATTCATTTTTTAAGACAAAATGTAGTAACCATTGCTATTGAAGCTAACCTTTTTTTTGTCTTCCATTCTTTTCATTTATGTGTTGAGAACTAACCCATGTATGCAGCAAAACAATGTTGAAGTAAAAAATTGACAGTATGAGTCGACACATAGCCTTATGAGTCGATACATACTGCTATATAGGCCCAAAACAGAAGGAAAAAAGAGTGTATGAATCAACGCAAAACATGTATGAGTCGACACATGCAGTGTATGAGTCGACACATACCATTATGTATCGACTCTTACTGAGTTGATTTGGCAATACATGGACAAAGAAAGTTATGTGTCGATGCATAGGAGCTTGTGTCGACACATAATAGTTCAAATGAAATTTTTCCTTATTTTTACATTGTTTTTACATTTCCTTCATTGTTATTCGATATGGTTGTAATACTTAAGTTCCTATTTTATCCCCACTTGTAAATTTTACCCCCATCCCCTAAACAATGTAATAGCGTAAGACTTTATTTTCTGCAATTTAACGCTTTCAAATACAAATGTTAGTAACTAGGGTGTGTATGGCAAGATAAAAATCAATCTTAGACAATCCTAATCCAATACAAAACAATACATGAAAAATAAACACTTGCACACTTGCACCTCTAGGGTTAACTCCACTTGTTGCTTTGAGAAAATAGTCATGTCCCTCAAATATGGGTGTTTTAGCAAAGACCCTCGATAAAAGATCGTAGTCCCTCGATGACCCTCGATGTTGCTTTTAGTAAACGATCTAGTTCCTAAAACAACATTGCTAAAACGTCCCATAGGTTGCCTTCTATGACTATACAAACGTCCCACGCCCGTCCCGTTTACATCTAAAGATAGGGTTACTTACCAAATCAATGGTAAGATAACAATGTCAAAGGAAAGAGGAAATGAACATGAAAGATTTTTGAGTATGTAGATTGTTCCTAGTTGCTTGCTCAAATTCAAAACCAAAACATCCTTGCTATTTTCAAAACAAACACCAACACTTTCAAAAAACACCTTTCAAACTTGAAAACATTTTCAAAAGATCAACGCTTTGTATACATTCTTACGAACGAGAATCATTACAAAGTTTGCCTAAATGATGACGCCTTTACAAAATACTTTCAAAAACCACACAAAACACATTTTCAAACAAAAGCAAGTGATCTAGCAAGTAACTAAGAGCCAATGGAAAACCATGGATAAAAAGGGTGCTAATACCTTCCCTTTTTATAATCTACCCCCCGAACTCAAGAAAACATCTCAAAGGTCTTTCCTGTGCTTTTTCACCTTTCCTTTTGGATAAAATAAAAGTCGGTGGCGACTCTTGCTAACCGCAACATTTGCGATCAAACGCAAAACAACCAAGTCAGTTCTCCCACTATATCACAGGATCATTTATAAATTTTTCCGTGAAACCGATAACCATCAAAACTAGGGTTTTTGACGCACCTATCTTCTTCCTCTTCATGCTTGATTTCGTTGCCCCATTCACTATCACCGCAAGTTCATCATTTTCTTCACCTTCATTCCATTTCTCTATCTATTCTGCACCCTATTTCGTTAACTAACATTATTTGATTCTCTTTGCAGTCATGGATGAAGTTGTTCAAGAACATGTTGCTTTAATTTCAGATCCATCACATATCAATGTCAAACTCTTCAACCACTGAAGCTTTGATGATGTACAAGTTTATTTCAGATCCATCATAGTTTTTTATTGTAATTTGTAATATATATACTCTGCTGAAGTTTATAAATTTATGATTTTTGTTTATTGGTTATAATTTTGTTGTTTTTGTTGTGTTAGCTCACTAATGTTTCGTTTAGTGACTTATATTGGAGTTACGAAAAAAACTCCTCGCATTGTTGGGGGATACT